AAAAACTTCATAATCATATAAGGCTCATATGATTTACTCATGAAAGTGTTCATATATTGTTTTAGTAAGTATCCAAAACATACAAGTTTCATTTATATAATTTTTCAAGGGATCTTATATTTGTTTTCACTCTTGTATGCTTTTCATACAAGTTTCATACAAGACAGATACAAACTTCACAAGATTTATAAATATCTTTTCCATATGGGTCGTATCCATATTAAAGCTACATGTTTACCTGTGATCAATATCAGTAAAAGCAGCGACACCTGCATGTGCACAACACAAGACATCTGAGCAACTTCTGATAGACTGGTGGTGATAAATGTGTTGCAATAGATAGTCGATTCATTGATTCTGATTACAGATTCTGGTTAATTACAAGGAACACTATGTAGGTGGCTACTTTCTGTTTTAATGGTTTAAAGAAGGCTTTCCCTTGTTTGAACATGAAAGCACCCCGAGCTTTCAGAAATATACCAGAGACTCATATTAGAGTTGCAATAATTCCTTCTCCAATCAAAAGAAAACAGCTTGTAAAAGACTTAAATAAGAGAATAAAAAGGAAGAAGCCAAATGTCAGAGCTATTTGCTTGTCTTGGTCTCTAAACTTACTACTTGAATGTTTTTCCTGTTTTGCTAACATGAAGAACAACATTACAGCAAAATATGGAAGATGCCAGCATGTCTGCAAACACTCGCTCCTGGTCGGTGGCTCGGTCTGTAGCCCTGCGTGACTTGACCTTACAGCGTCTTAGATTCAAACAGGCAAGTTAACGATACATGATTAGCGGTCATGTGACTGCAAAACCTTAATGGAAGCCTATGGTAAAAACAGCGATCCGATTCGATCACTAAAAGCTGTCATGACACACTAACAATAACATTTTGTAACTTTTTTTTATCAGTCTCGTCTAAGAGGAGAATGATAAAGAAATCGACCCAAATGGCAGATGGCCCCGCCCCTCCCTGAGCCTGGTTCTGTCGGAGGTTTCTTCCTGTTAAAAGGGAGTTTTTCCTTCCCACTGTCGCCAAAGTGCTCGATCATAGGGGGTCATATGATTGTTGGGTTTTCTCTGTATTATTGTAGCGTCTACTTTACAATATAAAGCACCTTGAGGTGACTGTTGTTGTGATTTGATGCTGTGTAAATAAAATTGAATTGAACTGAATTAAGACGAGAGGATTAACCAGGTAAAGATTGGCCATTAATGAGTGTGCAGTTTCACAGTTCGCTCAAGCCTTTGCTGTGTTTTTTTGGTTGCAGACCTGTGTTATTCAAGTCAGCAAAGTTTCAAGAGTTAATTATCCAACTGACAAAAGCAACTTGAGGAAGATTAAAGTTTGGAGAAACATCTTTGGATAGTTGGAGCCTTGTGAACGTTAATTTCACTTTCTACATTTGATATGAGTTTGCTGATTTAGGATCCTAAAATCCTAAAATGAGAGAATAATGTCTTGGTTTTGCTCTTACTTGGCACCAGAGATGGGCAGTAA